ATCATCATCATCATCATCATCATCATCATCATCATCATCATCATCATCATCATCATCATCATCATCATCATCATCATCATCATCATCATCATCATCATCATCATCATCATCATCATCATCATCATCATCATCATCATCATCATCATCATCATCATCATCATCATCATCATCATCATCATCATCATCATCATCATCATCATCATCATCATCATCATCATCATCATCATCATCATCATCATCATCATCATCATCATCATCATCATCATCATCATCATCCAAATTTTATTCCGAGGATACTTCCAACGTTTTAAGGATAAATGTTCCTGCTCCTCTGAGGTTTCCTAAATAATCATAATTCCCTGACATATGATTGCAAATCAAAGGTTGCAGAACATATCTTCACAGAGGACCACCAAATATCGACAGAGGACATCATGATTTTACGGACCGTATCTATACCATGGAAATTGGATGTTGCAGAGAGCCTCGTGATCAACAAATAACGTAATTCAACTTTACTCAACAGGGATCAAGGAAACGGACACACATGGCTTTTCAAGTTACTACTAGGTCACATCAACGAGTAAGCAGCAGAGTACCTGCTCCTACAAGAAATTAAATTTTAGTTTACCTAGCTTCTAAGTGAAAATGTACCTGGGTTAATATACATTCGGTAAATGCGATGTTTTTCTTCAGTCGAGTATTAGTACAAGACAATGAAGAAGTCTGCACATTGTAGACGAAATACGCGCATCTGTCAAGGATAACCAAATAAGGTAGAGGAATTAAATGGAAATTACTAAACTTTCTCTCTCTCAATATACATGTATTCCACTAAGACGCCCACATTCATCAGGATTCAATTCCCTGACGCTTATGAAGTTTTCGGATCATTCATAGAGTTCTAATAATGTGCTCCCACAATTTCACGGAACTTTTTGAAAGTTTCTGCAAATTTCCTTAATGTAATGGGGTTTCTTTGAAGCTATCTGATCGGCCACGATGTACTCAGCACTTCGCTGAATATCATGAAACTATCTAAGAGTTTCTAAATTTCTTGACGATCTTTGAAATTTCTTGAAGATAACCATTTTAATTATTTGATGGATCTGCCTTGAAGTTCTCTTAACCAAGTTAGTTAAATTTTCGCCAATTCATAATGCTCTTGAAATTTCCATGATAATCATATAAAATACTCTCACGTTTTCCTGATGTTAATCTAACTTCCCTTTACATTATAGAAATTCTCTCGGAGCTTTCTCTGAATTTCTCGGAACTTCTGTAAGTTTTCTGCAAGTTATTCGAACTGCCATTAGGTAAATAAATTAATAAATAAATAAATAAATATAGATATAAATAAATAAATAAATAACTATAAATATAAAAAAAAATAAATAAACAAATAAAATGAATTGATAAACAGATAAATAAATAAATAAATAAATGTAAAAAATGTAAAATGTAATAAAAATAAAAATTGAATAAATAAATAAATCAACAAAGAAATAAATAAATAAACAAATAGTTCAATAAATAGATCAATAAATAAATAAACAAATCAATAAATAAAAAAATTAAAACCAACAAAAAAATATAAATATAAAAGGAGAGGAATAAATAAATAAATCAATGAATCATTTTTTTTATTATTGTCACTTTAACACTTTGAAGGTCGTGACTGTAGTTCATAGCAGTTCAATTTAACTACTAATATTACATTTTTTGTTTTTATTTTTCGAACAGATTAAATATTCTTAAACTTCTGCCGTCAACGGACATATAGGGGAATTTACGTATTCTCGGCAACCTAAGCAGTGACCTTCTTTCTATAGCCTTTTTCTCTAAGGAACGCACACATATGCAGTATTGGTTTGATTACAATCTTTTGCTGCCAGCTGCTCTAACAATTTCAGTCGAAAGAATTGTCAAAAACTGTTTTGAAACGCTTTTACAAAGCTCCAATCTTCTCTAGTGAGAGCGAGTATTGTCGGCAACCAGTTTTTCTTCGGCAACCGTTCCATTTGAACTGAATGTAAATCTGCTGTTCTATTATCGGCAACTCGAAATCAGCTACAATTTGTAGTGCGTGTGTTTCATTTCAATAAAACCTTGCTAGATTGCTTTTTCTCAGTGGTAAAAATATAGTCAAATTGAAGCTGAAAGAATAAAGAATCGTTTGCATGCGTTCAGCGAAGTGTTTTCTTAAGAAAATCCAGTGAAAATAGTGTTTCAATTTGGGTTGCCGAAAATAGTCTGGCATGCCGAAGCCGTCATTTCCCCTATAATCAATTTCTACTAATGCTTGGAAGCGGTTACTATTTTGTTCGAAGCTCTGGCAGCCCTGGATTAAACACAATTTCTTCATTTAATTTGCCTTCTGAGTCAATTCACTTGTTGACATCCGTCGCCTTTGATTGGTAGCTTCGATGAAATCGTTGGTATCCGAGCTGTCATTACCGTCATCGCCATCGTCGTCGTCGCAGTCATCATCGCAGTCATCATCGCAGTCATCATCGCAGTCATCATCGCAGTCATCGTCGTTATCACTGGTTGTGTTGTTTTTGTTATTGTTTTTGTTCTGTTGCATTTCGGTTTCTTCGTTGGTTTTTGTTAGTGGGGAGTCTGGCTCCAGATTCGGTTCCTCTTCTTCAGATGCTGATGATAATGGTGGAAACTCATCTTCATTCAACTTTGGATCACTTGACCTTCTGGGTGCTGCTTGTGATGGTGTTTTTGGTCTTACAGCTGTTTTCGAAGTCTTCACACACTTTTGTTTGGGATGAGCTGCTTTTCCGCAGTGACCACATGTTTTGGGCTGATTCCAGTATGTCACCAGCGTTGTTTCGCCATCGATGGTCACACATGATGGAAGGGAGCGACTAAGGACTCGTACACCATTGTAGATTCCCGGGAAATGGTACTTCCACCGTTCCCGTGTGATAGATATCACAACTCCATACTGCCTCATGAAATTGATGACGGTCAAATGCTGCTTGTGAGAAGGAAGGTCATGCACGCGCACTGTCACGGCTTCACTTTCAACATACACAGGAATCTTGAATTCCTTGTTATCGCAAACAATAGTGTGCTTATGATTTCCGGAGTGATTTGAGATTTGGGCGTAATTGCATTTGTAAGCAAACACGTCAATCGCCGATTTCTCGCGGATGAAAGCTCAATTTCGAAAACTAATAACACTACGAGGTGAAGGAATTATTCCTCTTTCATTTAGCATAGCTTGTTTATGAGATTGAGGTTTTATTCACGAGAAATCGGCGATTGACGTGTTTGTTTACAAAAGCAATTACGCCCATAAATACTTAAATATATCAATAAAATAATAAATAAATAAATATATAAATCAATATATATAAAATAAATAAATTAATAAACTAATAAATACATAAATAATACATAATAAAATAAATAAATAAATAAACACTTATAAATAAATAAATAAATAAAAAAATTAATAAAAAATAAGGTACATTTTTTTAAATAAATAGATAAATTTATCTCTCTGTCTAGACAAATCTTTCGATTTTTTCTCCTCTAACAGCTATTAATGTGGCTGACCTGCACTAAATATGCGTGTGTGTGTGTGTGTGTGTGTGTGTTCTAAGGCACTGTTTGTTGCATTAAATCACCAACCATCATACAAAATCGACTTTTTATTGCTTAATTAAATTTGGTTTAAATATTCCTGTGTATTAAATTTTTACCTAAATCTCCAAACCATCAATATATGCGATTGTTTTACTTTCTAGTTAAATAGAAAAAGACTTCACTAATGTTCCAGTTCGGAATATTTTGGCCAGACGTGATCTGGAGTTTATGAAACTCATATATGTTTCTTGAGGAATATTAACCTTAGATTGTAATTTTTATTAACCTTGTATTTAGTTTTTATTTTGTGTGTGTGAGTGTTGTATTTTTTTTTGTATATTTGTTTCTGTAATAATGGTATTATTACAAATCTGGTATGACGTTGATAGGATATAGTGTAATTTTAAATCATAAATCATATTCCAAATGTCTCCCTTCTTCTCCCCATCCATCCAATTGTCATCCACTAATCTCGAGAAGACCGCGAGCAATCGGTTCAAATCCTTTAATAATGTATAACGAAAATGATAACTTGGCTCTGTAAAGTTTATTCGATTGAGCCTGTACAAATGCTATAAATTGATAACTGATCACGGAATCCATGCTTTTCTTTTCTTCCGTTTTTCTAAAGCCGTTGGTCCCCGGATCATTTAATCATTCATTGGGAGTCATTAATAATAACCGCTCTGTTTTGACCCCAAAGTGCTTCTAGAACCGTACTAGTAGGTTGATGAAATACTGTTCTGAATTTCGATCTCTCTTTTTATATTAATGGTCCCATGGACTGGAGAGATTGGTGAAATTACTTCATCAGGCAGTCGTCTGAACAAGGCATAAACCCTAATCAGCGTACTCTTTTCAAAATCTGCTCGAATCGCAGTAGTCTACCTCTCACGGTGAACAGATCCCACATATAAACCAAAACATTCAAACTGACATTTCACCACACTCACACAAACGCATGCGCACGGGTAGCTGTTTGTTGTTGTTCTGTCTTTCTCGATGTGATAATGTTCCTATCGGTATGATTTGCTTCAAGCCTTTCTTCGCACTGAAACAAAGGTAATGTTAGGTGATTTTTGGCCTATTTTGAAAGACTATTGACACAACTTGTTAATGTAAACATCACCATAACCTGTGTTTCGCTTCATAAAAAGTTTAAGTCAAAATTTATGAGGCGCAACACTAAACCCAACCGGGAAATGTATACAAAAATATGCATTCTGGAAAAAAAAATTTGCTTGTACACTGCAGCCCATTGCAAGAACTTGCATTGGATGTAGGAGAAATTAGTTTTGTGTGTACCATGCACCATCTGTGAGAGTCTCACTCGTGCACGGGTAACAGTTCTAGTTTGACACTTACTACAGATACCACAGTAGCGACGAGTGAACATCACCCCTTATTGAATGTAAAAACAAAGTGCAGGCAGTGCAAAGCCTGCACATAAAAAGTATATTTGTTTACCAAAAGTGATCCATTCAGTCCAGCAACGATGCAGGAACACATGGGCCGCAGGGAGATCTCCGAGGAGCCACCGATGAGCCGGTTGTTCGTGATATGTGGCCGGCAAATCACGAAGGAACAGCTCATGCATCACTTCCAGGACGACGGCCAAATTGAAGAGTGTGTTGTGATTGTGGACAAGAAGACTGGCCAGGGCAAGGGTGTAGCGTATGTTAAGTTTACGAAGACTTCCTCCGCGGCTAGGGGTCTTCGTAAGAATGGAACCTACATCGAAAACGAGACCCGCCCCATCAAGGTGATGATATCGGCCAGGTGAGTTGGGCGTTGGAATGCATAGGTTTGTTCATGCCGGGAGTGAAAACAAAATGGCGTTTATGTTTTGCCGGGTGTTATGCTGATATCGTTATTCCCTTGGGGGGTTTTAGCTACCAAAAGAAGAAAGAAGACGGTGCACCGGAGGAGGTGAACGAATACAAATTCCGTCGTCTTTTTGCGGTGGTACCCAGTTCGAAAGATGAGGATTCTATCAAGAAGGAATTCTGTCGATTCGGTTCCGTGACTCAGGTGCGGTTAGTTCCGGACAAAAAGAACCAAAGCCAATGTGCGGCGTACATTACGTTCACTTCGTTCCTGGAGACTGCGTTGGCCATCGAGGGATGTGACCCGAACTACAGGGCCAAGTTCTGTCTGCCTCGGGAAACCCTGAATAAGGAAAAGGAAACCACTGGTGGAAAATTTGAATCGAGCAACGGCTCTAGCCGCAAGAGGACACATTCTCCAGAAACTGGTCGCTCGGGAGTTGATGTCAAACTGGTGGTGATTTGCAGCAACAGTCTAAACCAGGACCGCTTGTGGAGAATTTTTGATATTGCACCAGGCATGAAGTACTGCAACATAGTTACGCAAAGTAAGTTATCTCATTCAAGTGGTAAATGAGCTATTATTCTAAATATTTGTATAATAATTCCAGATGATATCAACATAACTGCTTCCGTCGTCTACTCGAGCAAAGACGAAGCCCAGCGTGCCGTGGATAAAATCCATGGACTCGAATACCCAATCGGAGAGCGAATTATCGTCCGATACGAAAACGAATTCCGAGATGAAATCAGTACCAATGACGTCCTTTCCCAGCTCGGTCCTCCGAAGCCGATTCTGAACGCACAGACGACTCAGTGCGCCAAGAAAGCGTTCTTCATCTGCATGCCCGAGGCCGTTTCGGTGAAACTGCTGCAGGATGCCTTCTGTCGGTTTGGCGATCTGATCAATGTATATTTGATCCCCGGAAAGCGACATGGGTATGCAGCATTTGCCAGCGAAGTTGCTGCCGATCGGGCCATCCAGCAACTGCACGGAATTCAGCTGGGTGACTGTCGATTGAAGGTTCTGGAATGCATGGAGCAGAACGAGACCAAAAAACGAAGGCCAATGGATGTCTAACCTCTAGAGGACTGTTCGGGTAAGATTCGCTCTGTGAGCGACTGTTTGCTTTCCTGGGTAGATGTGTTTTTACTTTCGTTTCAGGGTGGATCCGAAGCAGGTGAATCGACGGAGGAATTCTTTTTCTCTTGTTCTGTATTTTCTTTATTTCAGCTGCTTCCAAAATTTGCACCTTTCTAACAAGCAATCCCATTTCTGATCTCTTGTCATTTGCAGAATATTAACTTGAGAACGATTGAAAAGGGAACGTACATCGGAAGAGAATTTTGAAACATATTTCAAGAATAATTTAGATTTTGAACAGCAGGACACGCTAACTGGGAAAATTGGTTCCTGTGAAAACTTATCGTTTGGTAAATCACTCATTCATACACTTCCTATTTTACTTGATAACTGAAAGTTAGAGAAACGAAGCAACAAACTACTACTAGTACTACAAAGGTGGTCAATTCCACAACGGAATGGAAAGCATAACACTTCTAATAAGAATTCAGATCGTAACTGGAAATGAAACTTTACAATCGAGAATAATGAATCCTGAAGAAGATTTTCGAAACCTAAGTTTTAACATAATCTTTACTATTCCATACACCAATGGATTTGAATAATTCATAGCAACCTACTATTTCGTACGTGATCGTAGTGAATGAAGAATGCATACTCAAGAATTGAAACAAATAAACTGAGATAGATGGGTAGAATGTGGGGATATTGTTTATCCGAACTCCGCTGGTATTAAATGTTGGTCAAAACTGTTCTTATTCCTATTTACTTATGTAAGAAAAGATGTAAGAAAGCTAGATGCTTATTTTTTAGACTATATTTAATATATTCTGCATGCTGTCCTTCTCTCAGTAGACATGTAGAATTTAATCTTCGAAAGACTTAATGATATAAAAGATGTTCTAAAACATAATATTAAAATAAAAATTGAATACAAAAATGCTGAAAATAGATTGTTGAAAATACAAAAAAGGCCTCCCCGACGGGGAATCGAACCCCGGTCTCCCGCGTGACAGGCGGGGATACTTACCACTATACTATCGAGGACATGATAATACTCTAAAAATAAAGACAATGCTATTCGAATTTAGTGAATCCTGCGCAGGAACCACCACTCGTATATTGAATCCACAGCTGCATGCATGTATGTACTGTCATCCATATTCTCGTTTTCGTTCGAACCGTTTTTCCATAAAAAACAAAAACGGACAAAAACAATAATATGGGTGTGTATCTACCTATGTTGTGTACGAAAGAAAAGCAGATAAAGTGATGACAGCAGTGTTGCCGTAAACTGCTCGAATTTCAAATCACCCTCGTGCACGCTTAACATCTTGCGTTTCGATCGAAAGGTACTGTTTGTCGTTTAGCCACTCGTTAAATAAGAAAGCATCGGTGGTTCAGTGGTAGAATGCTCGCCTGCCACGCGGGCGGCCCGGGTTCGATTCCCGGCCGATGCATCTATACTTTTTTTTTGCATTTTGGAACAATCATGGATTGTGCATGCAACACTTTTATTCGCTAATTTTTAAAAATAACCATGCAGTTATTTTACGTAGGGTGGGTAAACCAGTAGTTAAGGAAATAAGCCAATTTATTTATTAAAAAATAAATTAACGATATGAACCCTACTTTACGGGGGAGTTTGGTAAAAGGAATAATCAACCCGTTTCTTACCTTCATCAAAAAGTTGTCCTTTGCTCGCTTTCTACTTTCTATATACAATGTTCCCACTGCCGTACTTTAGCGGAACTATCAACTATATAATTTCATCTCATATACCATATAAAATGTTCACACATGTCTGCTATTTGACGTTAAGTATCTTCAACTAGATATGATGATTTTCTTTTTGTCGTGATCTAACGTATTGGTATCTAATGGATTCCACTATTAAAAGAACACTTCCACAATGATAGGTGCAAGTATGCAACTCTACCTATGAAAAATAAATGTATCTGGTTTTTCATCATTATCCTTGCATAAATCCCCTACCGTTACTGCAGGTACACCACTATTACTGGAACAGCTCCCTTAAATGAGCTTTGTAAATATTGATTTAAGCACAATCTGCACTTTGCCACTCTTTTTCGAGTGGATTTTTACATAGAACGAACTGATTCTACTACAACCCAAGTAACACACTTCCATGCAATTATGTTGGGTTAACTTCTTTACCACCAAATCAAGTTATATAAAGATTAAAATAACTGTTAAAGAACTTGAGATATCCTTCGAATTGATTTACCTTTCCATACATACCGTTAGATTCCATAAAAAAATCACATATTGTGAAGGTATTATCAAAAATCTAACACTCTTTCTTGACTCCTAACTTGGCCTACGAGTTCTGATTCTGTTCTAACTCTTTGAAACACCATTGAATTCATTTTGGCGTACGTATGAAGTTAAAAATTGATTGTAAATATTGCTTTTGATAGATTTTGATTTAATGTATCGTACCAAACATATAATTGACTTATTTACGGTCTACGGCTGGAGGAGCGAGCACTTAAAATAAATAATATTCGGAAATTTATAAAAAAAAAATACCTTCTTAAGAGTAGTTGTTATCGTCGTCCGTCGGTGAGGTCGCCGCCGGGATTGAAATCTAGCAACATCAAGTTTTTTGTTTTGTTTATCAATTTATTTGATAAGGCTCAACCGAATTAACTTTACAGAGCCGAGGATTCTTGTTCACTATACAAAACATCTTAAAACTATAGTCAAAAGGTACAACACAATCAATATGTTATATTCCGCTATCCAATAAGCCTCCTCCAACTAAACGGGAGCCGTTTCCAGTGGTTTCATTGTATGAAAGATACGCCAACAGGGATCAGAGCGCTTCCATTGCAGCAATGGACGCAAAACGTGGTCAGCCCTCACATCACGAAACGGTTGCTTTCCAAAGTCGATTACGCATCGACTGAAAGAACTGCTGATGAAGAACAATGAGGAGGACCACACAATGCCCAAGTAACAATTTGGGTTTTATGAGGGTTCTGTAGACCATGTTTTAGACTTGTAGAACGCTTTAAAACCTCGATAAAATTTGCGCCGGTGGTGTAGTGGTAAGCGTGATTACCTCTCACCCCAGCAGGCCTGGGTTCAATCCCAGTGGGCGGCGGTGGGATGTTCTGAGGCATAACATCTCTGATCACGCCTTTCTTCGGAAGGGGAGTAAAGCCGTTAGTCCCCGGTTCATGAGTTGATGGGTCGATAGGTAGGGTCCAGGTGTGGGAGCTGCCTTCCTGGTGTCGGTAGCATTGGTGCTCAGCACGGAAAACAAGATCGCCGGAAAATAAATCATAGAAAAAAAAATATATGCTGCTCCTTTTTTCGGTACTTATTTGGCCTGCTTTAGAAAATATGCGTTCGCAAGGAATCGATGTAGATATTTGTCCAGCTCAAAAATTGTTGCTGAAGATGGATCTTGTTGGCCTTGAATTATCATCACTGAATCGTCGAGGTCCTGCCACGGAGAAGATACCGGTACTGGTGTTAGCTTCTGAACCACTTGTGGTGTTTTGTCCATGGCTGTGGTCATGACCTGCGTCAACTTTTCTACAACGGATTGGTATGCCAGGTTGAACTTCCCATCATCTCCGAAAGCTTGTTTCTTGAACCTGATTACACTTTTGGGGGTGAACAGCGTTCAAAAATTTTGCCATTTTCTGTAGCATTATGCGATACAGCACACAAGGGACACGTTCTGCTCTGCGGATATCTCGGTTGTCACGTCGTAGAAAATTTTCAACACTTTGACGCTACGTTGAATCACCTTCCAGTCCGAGTTTTCCAGAGACAGTTTTGAAACAAACAAAGCCAAAGTAGATTCAACCGGATCTTTTTTAAGCAAAATCCGTTCCAGCATGTCAAACGTTGCATTCCTCGAATTCATTATCTTCCACTAAGGTAATAGGATGTTACTATTTGCAGATCATTTTTAGCAACTGAGCATGTCGCGCTCTCTTTATAAGACACCGTGGGATGTTTAATTTTTAAGTGTCGTCGTCTTCGACATGGTGGCAAAATCTGGGAACGATTCGTTTTAACGAAACATTTTACCAAACATTAAAGTTTGAATAGTTTTTGCTCACCTCTTAGAGCATTTTAAGTATCTAATCACAAAACTTTATTGAAAAACCGAAATGCTGAATCGAGATCCGTGTGTTTCATTAAGCGAAGTTAAGAAGCAGTGAAAGTTCTCAATAAGAAATACCAGATCATCGATAGAAAATTTGTTTATGTGAGGAAAAAACGAGAAGAAAATAGCACTACTTTGACAGCAGAGAAACAAAGAAGGATAGTTACGAATGGCTGAACTGACAAATCAGAGCCAACATTTCAAAGGGGCGAAGTTGCTTTTGTAAACAATGGCTTTAGTCGTCGATTTCTCGCAAATAAAAGCCCATCTCTCCAAATTACAAATGCTAGATGGTACGGGAAACATAAGAGATAGTCTTTTTTGACAGCTCTTTGTTGAATCGCAGCTGAGGGATCTGATGATCCATTCAGCTCCGTCGGCTCCGCAACTCTTTTTGTATCTGGAGCTAAACGTCGGGTCTTTTATCATCAGATCTTTTTCGTATCAGAACTGAGGGAGCTAAAGTCAAACCACCACTATCGTACAACTCACGTGAGATAATTTCTCTCCGTTTTTTTTAATTAAGTGAGAGCAAGAGCGGGATGCGCTCGGGGTGCTGGAATACAACTGAAGTGAGAAAAGTTGTTTCGCATTCCATTTGTAGTTGTGTATGCGTTTATAACAGAGGAGAGTGAAGGCCATTTAAACTGTTTTGACATAGGACTACGTCTGTGATTTATATATGGGGGTACACTTTGTGAAAACCGGGAATGGAACATGTAACAAAATTATGAAAGATTTTGAACGTTAATAACTCAGCTGCCCCTGGATCAATTTCAATAACTTTATCACCAATCGATCAGAAATATTTCAACGCATTTGTTTAATTTAAGACTTTATGTTTATTAAATAGTAGTTACAGTGGGAGCTGATAAGCTGCGGTTCTTTTAAATATAACTGCAGGTCTTCAGCTCACTTTAAAGAATCGATTCTTTGGAACAGCTCCAACTCCAACTTGCCCATCCCTAGTTCAAATCCAAGCTCCATCGCGCTATTAAATCTTTAGGACATAAATTCAGCATATCATTTACCAAATCGAATCCTGCTGCAATCCTCATTGTTTTACCTCTTTTACTCAAAATTGGCTATTAGGTCGAATTAGTTCTCTACCCTACATTCCGCTAGACTTAAAAATTATGGTGCAATGGATGATAATCAGCATGATTTTCAGTACTTAATACCACACACATACTTTGCCAGAACAGATGTGTATGATATAAATTAATTCAATTTGTATGCTTGATAGGGCATGATAAGTGACTTTTTTAAAGTTATTCGGAGATGTTAGAGATTTTTCATGGAATACTAGTCAACGTTTTAGTTAGATGCAAGAACATTCTGGATAAGTTAGTTTAGCTCGAACCAATTAGCGTGATTGTTTTTAAAGTTGCCTCCGTGAAGCTCTTAAAGTCTCTCTACAGTTCCCTCAAGATCCATGAGTTTTAGAAATTACGTTCCCAAAAGTAACAAGTAAAATCCTCAAAACTGTTACCCAACCGTAACTTAATTTAGATTTGCATATGGTATGGTATTGTAGGGCG